CTACCTACCTACCTACCTACCTACCTATGCACATACATGTTTGAATACACAGCTACATCTGTTTAATTTTGCCTTAGAGTAATCTCGAAGTCAGCCCTTACGTTTGGTAAAACATGGTTTATGGCTGACCATAATGGATACGAATAGCCATTGTGGCTCCTTTAACCAATCATGGTGATAACTTAGTATCACAACTCAGACACAGTAGTTTATGGATGAGTCAACCAAGTGAAAATAAATTGTGCCTTGTTTTTTAGAACTGCATACAATTATTGTGCATGGGTCATTAGTTGACAATGGTTGTGTATATTATGAATATTAAAACGGCATTATAGGAATCCATTCTCAGTGGACACTAGCTATATGGTTCCAATAAAACAAAGCTGAGATAATTTATACACAGACACACATAAATAAGTTAAATAAGGATGTGCCTTTAGTTATAAAAATATTTTGTTCTAAAATATTGTACATTTGATAAGTAAAAAACAAAGTTGACTACTTTACAAATCTCTTGTTATGATTGATTATTTAATAGTTATTTATAGAAGCCAAATATCCACATATTTTACACCATAATTTCTCAAAACTGAAATGACATCAATTACCCCAGTTAGCCCTATGATCAGCATAATTCCAATCAGGCACTGTCTATACAGTAACTCTTGGAGCCAAAGTTTTCATGGAAGATGAGTTCTGATTGACAGTTGATATAAATAATTGTTATCAATAGTTGATATCAATAGAAAAAACGCTAAATATATATTTTTTTAAAAGTTGATGTAATGGTTGCTCCTGGCCCAAGATGTGACTCTAGTTGAATAGAGGAAGTTCAAAAGAAGATTTGAAGATTTGAAGATTTGCTGAAAATACCACAGAAAATACCACTGAACCCAAAGAAATTTGCTTGTTGTTTCTAAAATACTCCTAAACTTCTAAATCACCTAAAACACCTGTGGTTATATATTAGTGCTGTAATGAGAATTTAATTCTGTTTTTTTCTTTTATTTCAAGTTGATCAAAGTGGAGAGAAGAAACGCAAGAAAGGGGCTTCCTTTCAGACAGTGTCATCAATGCATAAAGTAATTTTACATACACTTTTTAAGTATAATACCTCATTTATTTTCTTTCACTGCTTCAGAAATAGTATATTTGAATTGTAACAGAACAATACTTAAAAATTCATTTTCCAAGTTCTGAATTTTCAGCATGTTCCCTTCAAAAAGGAACTACTTCTTAAAAAAATTATATAAATACTTAAATTTCCACAGGATTCATTGTTATTTTTCATGGCAACCAGTGGTTAGATTTCTCAGAATTAGATCAGTGACCAAAGGCACTTCCCAGTCATCTAGATTCTTTTTCAAAGGTAGCTGGCATATCTGCTTTGGTAAAAGTAATTGGAAAGCATTTACCTTTTAGGAGTTCAGAATATAATCTGAATTAGCTCTGCTAATATATAATGCTAAACCATAATGTAAGGGTTTTTGAAATGCAAAACTACTTATGCAATAAGTGCAACATGCCATAATTACTTGTTTAGCAAACTATGTCCCAAAGGCCCCGGTAGATATACATATCTGAGAATCAGTGAGAGCTTATACTTCAAAACAAAGATTCAAATGTGGCCCATCTTCACAGAAGATATGAAAGATTCCTGCTTATGTTCTCTATATATTAGGTAATATTTTTGCCATTGATAAAATTTGTGGCTTAGCCCAAATTGTAGAAAATGTGCAATTCTGGATAAAAAAGTGCAATTTCTGCTTGTCACACTCAAATATATAAATAGAATAACTGCTAAATATCTGAAGATCACACTTTCAGGAATGAATATTCTGTGTTTAATTTTGTTTGTTTTTCTTTTCAGTGTTAGCATTTAATACAGAAGATAGGTCTTCCTTCAATGTATTTAATTCATTAAAATTATCAGATACCTCTGTTCAGAGTCAAATCTGTTACAGAAAAAAAAATCTGCAGGATCCTTTTGGCCCAGCAGTTCCCAATATGTGGTGTAAAAGAGCAGGAACAGACCTTGCCAGAAAGACCAGATTGCCTGATTGAACAACAAAAATATGGAAGGGGATGAGGGAACTGAAAAATAACTTAGTTTGCTTGTTTAGAATCATAGAATTATAGGGCTGGAAAGGAACGTGGATGGCTTCTAATCCAATTCTGCTCAAGGCAGGAGACTTCTACTATCCCAATCAAATTGGTTTCCATTTAAATAAATAATAGTTTAGAATAGAATAGAGCTGGAAGGGACTTTGGAAGTCTTCTAGTTCAGCCCCCTGCTCAAGCAGGAGAACCTATCCTATTCTATTTCAGATAAGTGACTGTCTAGTCTCTTTTTAAAAACCTCCAGTGATGGAACGCCCACGTTTTCTGAAGGCAAGCTATTCCACTGGTTTTGTCCTCACTGTTAGGAAGTTTCTCCTTAATGCCAGGTTGCTTCTCTCTTTGGTTAGTTTCCAAGTTGTGCCTTCTTGAAAGTTTAAAATTGGATGATGTGGTGTACACGGTGTATAACCTTTTTCAGAAAAAAGGCTGCATCCAATCTGTAAATAGTATGTAAAAGACCTTATGTCAAAAGGATTAAGAAGAAATTATAAATAAGTAGAAGGGACTAGGACAAAAATTTTCATTTCATTAAAATGTGATTTCATTTCATTAAAATGTGATTTCATTTCATTAAAATGTGAATGCACAGTTAACAACTTCAGCACCTCATATTTAATATGTTCTCCCTTCTACTAGGCTAACAATTTGCATCTAATGGTGATTCTGGAACAACACATAGTATTTTTGGAAGAGACAGGCAATTATGAGGCCTCAGGTTGTGTGGTGTATACTAAACACAGTGTAATCCAAGACGGACATCACAACAATACACTTTCACTTTTAGAAAGCAACTGTTTCTAATTTTCTACAGTGGAAGAAATATTAGACTTGCATACACAAACCCAACACTCACTCAAAATCATTATGATATGAAATAACATTATTTTTTAGCATTATATCTAAATAATACCAAAATAAGAATACTTAATACTTAAGTAAAAACTTGAATAGACAGCAGAGAACTGAAGTATGCTTCATTTTAGGACCTCAGTTAGTATGGTAATTTATGATGTAACTCTTCCAAAAATAATTGCTTTTTTCAGTGAATTTGCTCACATGACATGGCCAAAGTAAGTGAGACGCAGTTTTTTGATTTAAATGTTTAAATGATTTAAAAGTTTCATGATATAAATGGCAATTTATACTCTCACTAATTCCACTGTTTAGATTTTATTTATTTATTCTCTCTGTATTTAGGAAAATTTAAACAAATTGATGACTAATTTACGATCTACATCTCCTCACTTTGTGCGATGCATTATTCCCAATGAAACAAAAACTCCAGGTAAAACTCTTTGAATATATTTTGTTTTTAATACTTAATTTAATGGGAACAAATCCTGCTTTTAAGCATGCATATATAGGAATGCATTTATTATCCTATCATTTCAGGGGCAATGGATGCTTTCCTTGTCCTCCATCAACTTCGCTGTAATGGCGTCTTGGAAGGAATCCGCATTTGTCGCAAAGGCTTTCCTAATAGAGTCATTTATGCTGACTTTAAACAAAGGTAATGTGAAAATCAATGGCACAGTCAAACTGTTACCTTTGCAGAACTGATATTTGTTCTTTAGTAGCAGCTCAGTAGATGCGGTTCTTCATTTATTCTGGCCAACAACTGGCCGGAATAAACTGTCTTTGAATAAAAAAATGACAACATGAAAGATATATTTTAGAATATGCAACGATTCACATTCAAAGAAGACAAAAGGATGTTTTTGATTCCACAGTGTTAACTGCATTTGTAGCGCCCAAATTTTCCCAGAATTGCATACATCAGCATAAGCTGATTCCTCAGCTTTGCTGCCCTCAAATCTAACAGTCAGAATTTTCAGTCAGCATGGATAGTGGGCCAGAGTGGGTTAAAAATTCTGGCTAAAAATTCTCATCTCTGAAGAGCACCAGATTGAAAAAGATTGATGTAGACATATTGATTAGATGGACAAAGTGTCTGGATTCACTTAACATACTTAGTCTGGCTACATTTTTGTGTCCACATAGTAATGAAATCGTAATCATACCCTATGAATTGTCACAATCTGCCAAATCACAAAAAACTAATCCAGGTTAAAACCAATCAAGTTATATAAATGTTTGAAATAAATAAACAAATACATTTAGTATGCTGTGTAAATAAAGTACAATATCTACATTTTTTAAAAAAAAGCTTGTTCTGGAAAGGCAGATACTGTGAGGTATTAATAGACTTCCTGATTCCTAAATCAAGGAAAGAATTACACCATGGTTTGGAGTTTAATTTTATTTGTTTTTACCAGATACCGCATCCTGAATCCTTCTGCAATTCCAGAGGACAAGTTTGTGGACAGCAGAAAAGCTGCTGAAAAATTACTGGGCTCTTTGGATATTGATTGTAACCAGTACCGCTTTGGGCACACCAAGGTAAAGCAGTTCAGTTCATCCAGCAATGGAATAAATGAATAGACATGTTCCTTGTTAGTATCTGGATCAAAACTCTTTTAGAATGAAATAACTATTATAAGGGTTATAAGGGAGAGTTGAAATAAACCTTACTTTATGTTTTTTAAACATGTATCTCCTCATATACAGCCCCGTTGATAAAGTCTGCCTGCATTATGTTTGGGCAGAAAAGTTTTATCTCAAGAAGGAAAGGAGAGATTTAAAATGTATTTACTACGAGATCCACAGCCTTGCTATCTACAGGCAGAGATTGAGATTTGAATCAATTGCATGAATCTTTTAATGCAAAAAAGGTTTGATCCTGTGGGTTTAATAGTCATCCTTGAAATCCTTCTACAGTGCTTTGCTTTGTCCCCCAACTCTGAAGAAACAGGGAACATTTCTCCATTTTTCTCTAGATTCTCTATTGGCTTCTTTGCACAGGCATAGTAGTTCCATTATAAATAGCTTACCAGAATGCTGTTATGGTTCAAATACATAAAGGAAGAAACATATCTAAAGTGCCTTGGGTAGCGATCAGCCACTATGTAATTTGGGTCCAAATGTTTTACTGTATCCAGGCTGACAATAAATACATAAAGAGAGAAGCATTTCTAAAGTGCCCTGGGTAGGAATCAGCTACATTTGGGTCCAAATGGCTTTATTGTATCTGGGCTGACAAATCAATCAGCACTCATATGTTTGAAAAAGACCATTTTTGGTATCAACTGAGACCATTTCTCCACTAGTGATATAGAGAATCTTCTAGCATTACCTGGTCATAATAATGATATAAAACCTGCCTTTTTTGTTATATGGCACAATGGTAGTTGAATTACTGTAGAAGCCTTTATAAATCACTAAGAGAGATCCTGCCTTAGGTTTGATTTAAAACTCCTGCTGCTTGCCAACCTGATGTTTATACAGATAGGCAAAATGTTGTAATATTTATTTCCACTTCAATTTCCTAAATGTCTATTAAAACTTGAGCAGGATGTTTTTAAAACTTTCAGAAGTTTTCTTTTTTCTATGACAGAGGCTATTTATTTATTGTAGGCATGGAATTTGACAGGAAATCCAAAGTAGTAAATAACCTTTAAGTAGTCAAATACTAGATGGGCCACCTTCAATCTGGGACCCACAGCTTTCCAATGATTGCCTTTTCCTTGCACCAAAGCCAAAAGATTAACAACCCATCCACTTGTCAAAGGACCACAGCTGAAGAAAGATAGTGGCTATTACTATAATATTACTTGCCTTTGTTCCCATATAGCACTTGTGAAATCTAGCACTTTCTCTCCCTTCATGAATCTACCTCCTCTCCTGCTTACACCCACTTCTCTACTTAACACATAGATTTAAACACACTGCTAGGCTACAAGACGAGTTAATTATTAACTTGCTGCTCTTCCTGTCAACTGTAGTTTAGCTGGCATATTTTAATTAAGTTCCAGAAGAGACTAACTTTTGCACTAGAATAAAAAAAAATCTATGACCTAGCTTTCCTTCTTCTAATATATGCATTTTTGGAAATTATATTACATCCTTCATAGAGTCCTAGAGTTGGAAGGGAAAAGCTGCTGTGTTGCATGTGTACTACTCCAAGAAGATATATTTTCATTGCTAGATTGACCACATTCTACATTGTCACATTGTCTTCTACATTGTGGAATATGGCTCAGTAACTAGAACAATTTCACTTCACAATGAGATATTGTGTTTACACTTATTTGTATATACATATTGTTATTATGTTTATACTTATTTGTATATACACATAAATATATCTATAACTTTGCTTCTGTAAGCAGTTGTAAGAGTAAGCAGCACAGTTGGTAGCATAATCTGTCTTTATGTGTCTTAGTTTCTGTCCCAATTCTAAACCAGTTTTAACACTTTTATGACATTTGTCCAACTAAGAATGCTGTTGCAGTATTCTCAGCCTTCTGTACCCAAGGGAAAATACCCTTAGCTCCGTCAACATCTTTTCATAGGAATTTCTAGCTCCCAATCATTTTACTATCTTTCTCTGAATTTATTCCAAGTCAGCTCAATAATAAAAATGAGGTCTGACCAAATCAAATTAATATGGAATTATTACGTCATGTGTTTTGGAGATCTTACTTCTTTTGATACAGTCTAAATTTACATCTTCCTTCCTTTCTTTGTTTTTTTACTTAATTTCTTTGTGAGGAAATTTATGGACAAGTCCCTTCAGTTTTCTTAGTAAGCTTTTTCAGAAGTAGTTTGTCACTGCCTCCTTCCTAGGGCTGAAAGAAAGTGACTAGGCAAGGTCACTCACAGACTCCCAGGTTCTAGCCTGATGCTTAACCACTATATCAAACAAATTTTATTCTAAGATATTTTTCAGGAGAAATATTATAAGCCAGAAGTCTCTTGTCCTAAAGCCGTACATTTATTTTTTGTTTCCAAAGTGAGTTCTTCATTTGTGTCTTAAATTTATTTTTTTACTTGCAGCCTGCCTTTCTGCATCATTTTTAGTTTATTTCCATCTAAAATAATGGCATATTATCTATCTCATTCAATTTTCTGTCATCTGCAAATTTGATAAATATTCCTCTATTTTTATATCTAAATCATTTGTAAAAATATTGAAGAATTGAGGACCCTGTCCTAAGTTATCTTAGTCAAAGCTTCAATGCCCAGTCCATCTTCAAGACAACTTTGTCTGTGGTCCCAGAATCCAAATCTCTCTTACAAATATAATTTCCATATCATAGTTCATTTATAGTATTTTCCTTTCCCTTTCCCTATCTTTTTCATAACCTGGAAAGATAGAATGGAATACTGTTCAAACCCTCAGTGTCTTTACCTTTTTCAAATGTCTGCTGAAAATTAAGTAGTGATTAAAAAAAATAGACCTAGCATTAGGACTAAATGTCAATTTTTATTAATGAAAAAGCCTAATGGAAAAAGGTATATTCTAAGCTCTATAGTATAGACTTATATTATCATTCACATTTGCTTTTACAACTTTTAATTTAAAGAAAAGTGAGATACATTTTTTATATTTCAAGAGTCAATAGTAATTTCAACTATTAAATTAACCACCTTTTGCACTGGATAATGCAATATCACTTCTTCTAAACTGACATTAAGATTTCATACTCTACTATTTTTATCTTGTTATCGCAGTGTGCTGATACAACTATTACTATGCCCTTATACTGTTGTGCTTTGTTACATCTCTGAAACTGATCTATGTGTCACCAATACATTGATTAAATTTATTTGACAAACTGATGGCATGTATCTCAGGTTTTTTTTAAAGCTGGTCTCCTAGGCCATCTGGAAGAAATGAGAGATGAGAGATTAGCCAAGATTTTAACACTAATTCAAGCAAGAGCCCGAGGCAAACTGATGCATACTGAGTTCCTGAAGATGCTAGAACGAAGGTATTATGCTATATACTCTTCACAACACTGTACACTGGGGACAAATTGTTATTTCTTTTTTTCCAAGTGATTATATTATGCAGCAATTTTCTTCAGCCTGGCACCATCCAGATAATGCAGCTTCCAAATATACAAGCCAGCATCATTTTCACCATGTGGATTAGGAATTTGTAGTTTAAATTACATATGTGAAGGAAGTAGCTTGAGGAGGCAGTAGAAATTTCATTTGTGGAAAGAAACTTCAAAGTAGTTCATGTAATATCTGATATTTCGCAATTGTGAATAATGCCATGAAATGCCCGAAAAAAATGTATTGTTTTTTCCTTCTTTCTCTATATTATTATCTTATGCAAACAAGGTTTTTTTTATGCTGACTCAGACCTGAATAAGATCCCTCCCCCACTTCTATTTCTACACTGGCATGTTCTGGCTATTTTTTTCTTCCTGTGCTCCACTGAAGTCTACGAGTGAGACAGCCTTAAGTCATCCTTAGTTACAGCATTGTTAAAATAACCTCTCCTCCATTAGTCTAATATTATCCAAGGACAACCTCAAGGTTTATAAAACCTGTCAGGCTTTTCCATGACTGACTATGGAGGGAAGTAAGATAACTGCAGTAACTTGAAACATTGGCAATAAGGGCAAGATAATGACTTGCAATAGGCATACCAAATATCATCCTAGAATAACCGCCAGGAGACATTTGATATAGAATGGCACACTAAACAAAAAATTACATGGATTCAAGCACTATAATTCAGCAGTGGAGAAAGACCTAAATTTGGATCACTAAGAAGGAAAAATGGCTGCAGTTTTTCAAGATTACTTGATACTTTTGTTACATTTAAGTAAAGGCTCATATATTCTTGTTTTCTTATTTCAAAAGTTATTTATACAATATAAATAAAAATAATATGTATACATACTAATGGTAACTGTCACAGCTGTTTCTGATGCTGTGCAAAAAAAACCAGGTAACTGTACATATTGCTTTGAAAATGCAAAAGAAATGTAGAAATGGTGTACACAAAATGAAGCATACAATCTAGAAATAGGAATTATTAAAATATGTAGCATCACTATAATATTTAGTATATAAAAGAAAACAAATTATTAAGGCCTAAGCTCATGAGGGAAGATCCAAGAACAAGTACTAAAGTTGGCTCCATTTCAGATAACTCAAGACTTCCTTCCTTCCTTCCTTCCTCCCTCCCTCCCTCCCTCCCTCCCTCCCTCCCTCCCTCCCTCCCTCCCTCCCTCCATCCATCCATCCCTCCCTTCCTCCCTGCCTGCCTTATTTCAGAGATGCCCTGCTTGTGATCCAGTGGAACATTCGAGCTTTCATGGTTGTGAAAAACTGGCCTTGGATGAAGCTATTTTTTAAGATCAAACCCCTCCTAAAATCAGCAGAGACTGAAAAGGAAATGGCTAATATGAAAGAAGAGTTCCTGAAATTGAAGGAGGCCTTAGAAAAATCAGAAGCCAGAAGGAAGGAGCTTGAAGAAAAGCAAGTTTCTCTTGTACAGGATAAGAATGACCTGCTCCTCCAGCTGCAAGCAGTAAGTAGATTAAAAATCAGTGTTAATTAATCCAACCCAAGCTTTGGTCCACCAAAGGAAGCTTGCTGTGAAACTGGTCCTGCTAAGTACAAATAGTGAAATCCAGGGGCACATAAAGCGGGGTATAGGACTGTTCTCCTCGTACCCTTCACTGGCCCCTTTTTGCCCCCAGGGTTCTGCCCCCATCCATTCACCTCTACCATTTCTCCTCAGTTGTTAGGACCCTAGCTGTTCACACCGGCCAATGGGACCCAGCATCTTTAGTCCCAGACCCTTCATCAGGGGCCATCTGGCAAAAAAACTGTTCAACCCGGGCTTTTGGGCCCAGGTGACAGTTCACCGCCAGCCAATCGGAGGAAGGGAAGGGAGAAAGACAGAAAGAGAGGGAGAAAGTGTTCCCTGTGGGGTTTGTTTCTCCGCCCAGTTGTCTCGGATCCAAGCTAGAAAATACTTTGCACAAGAAAGTTAAAATCATGACTTTCTACTTGTCACAATTCCTCAAACTACTTCTCTTACTTTTACGCCAAAGCTCTTAATATTATAATTACTTTAGTCATATAATATAACTACATTGTAAAATTGAGTCATGTACCCTTACATAGACAGATTCCTTTCTGGCAGTGTTTATCTTGTGTTATTCCTGTTTGGCCTATTAACAGCACAAAAGTTTTGAGGATTGCTCTGGTAGTTTGATTTATGTACCAATTCCTAGAGGGAATGAGAATGTCATTTATAGAAGAAGGAAAAGGATCTATGGAGGATCCAGATCCCAATGCAGGAAGGATACAACTGACCACAGGCACATGTTATTGCAGAGGCACATGTGCCACAAATGCCCAACAACCAAATGTTCAAAAGGGAAACACCTTTACAGCAGCACAATACATATACATATTACAATAGAACAAATGCCTATAACCGTGATGTCGAACCTATGGCACGTGTGCCACAGGTGGGACGCAGAGCCATTTGTCAGGGCACACGAGGGTTGCCCTGTCAGCTGGCCAGTGTGCATGCACATGCTGGCCAACAGAATTCGGCCTTCTTTTGAGGCATTTTTCAACATCCAGAGGCTGAAGGCTCCGGAGCATGAAAAACCAGCCCTACAGGCAAACTGGAAGTTCAGGAACCTACTTCCAGTTTGCTCATAGGGCTGGTTTTAGCTCTCCAGATTATTCAGGGAAGGCTCCTGAAGGCTCTGAAGGACAAAAAATGGCCCTATGGAAAAACTGGAAGTCACTTCCTGTTTGCTTGTATGGTCATTTTTTTTGCCCTCTGGAGGCTTCAGGGAAGCTTCCTGAAGGCCCCTAAAGTCTCCAGAGGGCTAAAACCAGCGCTACGAGCAAACCGGAAGTCCGTTCCTGAACTTCTGTTTGCTTGTAGGGCTGGTTTTTCACAGTCCGGAGGCTCCGGGTGGTGAGGGTGGGGGAGGCTGTTTTCGCCCTCCGCAGACTCCTACAAAGCCTCTGGAGCCTGGGGAGGGTGAAAAAAGCATACCAAAAGCTTGGGGGAGCGTTGGTCGTGCTTGCATGCGCACTAGGGTCATGCACATAGCATTATAGGTGTGGAACGCCTGCACACGATCCCCCTGCGCTCCCCCTGCTTTTGGCATGCAAGCCAAAAAAGGTTCGTCATCACTGGCCTGTAACATCCGTTTAAAATAGCATCTATTTAAGTATATCACAAGCTTTTAATACTTTCAACCTTAATTTACTCAAAAGTCCCCTTCTTTTCTTTGAGTACTTCTTTGGGTAACTGCATTTTATATACTGTGAATCATAAAGAAAGAATAGATAAGTAGAACTGAAGGCTTGCCAAAAATGATTGATACATGCTCCATCTTATAAAAAATAAAATTAAATGTTTGACTGTCAGACATTTTACAGCAAGAGAAAATTGGAATGGACAATATGGTGTTTTTTTTTAAAAAAAATTGCTTGGGTTCAATTCAATTTTTTTTTTATTATTATTTGTTTCACTTGCTGCTTGGCAATATGGCTCCCCAAAGTTTATAGCTCAAGGAAGTAGAATTTTCTTTCCATTGATAAAAGGCTGCTATAAGAAAGTAGGTAAAAAAATTCTCTTCCTAGAGAATAGTCAATTTCCTACAAGTAAACAAGTAATAATTCAGCATTTTTTCTTTTAAAGCAAAAACAAAGATTGCAGAAGTAACATAAATCTATACAAAAAGGATATGCAAATTACAAAGGAGAAACATATTCAAACACATTATAAATCTTTTACTCTATAAAATAGGGAAAACGTTTTTTTTAGTTTATCATATTTTTCAAGTATTTTTCACTATAAACTTAGCTTGCTTTATTTTTTAAAAATAAATATCCTAAAAAGGAGAAAAAAGAAGTAGTTAGTTTCAATAATTTGTTCAACTCAGGATGACAGCCTTCATTTTGCTCTGCATTAGTTAACATTACTTTACATGTAAATATATGAAGTGTAAAAATTTAAAAGCTAGAGTATAAATACTAATGTTTTTATACGTATTTCAGTCTCAGTCTCAGTTTCCATGGCAAATCAACAAAGAAAAGGAATGTTAAATTTGGGATATGTAGCATTTTATATACAGTTTGTTGGTGTGCTTTTGCACTGGCAAAGAAAAGAATGCATATTTTAAATGTTTATTATCTTGAACTTATATCTCAACTGACTGATTATTCTATTTATACAGGCAAAGCAATTTATGTCACCTACTTTTTCACTTCATAAATCCTTTGTGATGAGACGAGTAATTTTGGTTGAGATATCATAGAAGCTGAAATATTGTACTGGCTGTTTGCTTATTGACCACTGAAAAATGGGTTGTAAAATCCAGTTGAACCTGTGGGTAACTTGCTTTATGACTTACATTTGTGATGGGCAGGCTCCATTGTGGTCATAAGTGAGGACTACCTATATTCACCTAAGAATAAATAGTGTTGAAAGTGGACTTACTTTTTATGGTATATGTATAGGATTCAGAAATAAAAATAGTAGTTCTGGGTTTAATAATCACCAGATGTAGTAAATTTAGATTTAAAAATCCACAATAAATAGAACCATCACTTGCTATTAGAGTTGAAAGTTTATTTAGTTATTATTTATTTATAAAATTACTTCTATGGTGCCATTTCACACATACATCTCTGGGTACTGACACATGTAGAAACAGTACAAAAAAGTCCAATAGCAACAAAAGTGTTGCATGTCTGATTATTTTGTTCCAGTTTACTGACTACATATATAGATTATCTGTACGATAATGTGACCCCAGGCTGGTTCTGTGGATCTTTTAATGGTGCACACATTGCTACTGTAACTGAATCTTGTAAACTTGCTGCTGGCTGTTCACTTTTTTGGTTATTTTCACATTTTCCAGATTTCTCTGGAAAGTTAGGTCTCCAAATACTGTCCAAACTGATATTTTGCGCCTGGTTATTTCTGCCTTGAATGAGAACTTCGAGTTGATGTATTTGATGATTCATTTGTTTTCTTGGCTATCCACAATATCCCCAAGAGTCTGTTACAACTACTTCAATTCCAAACCATCAATATTTTTTCTATCCTACTTTTTCAAAGCACAACTTTCACTTCCATAAAGTATCATATGGAGACTATTCCTTACATGATTCTGATCTTTGTAGGCACAGAAACATGACAACATTTGAAAATCTTTTTCGAAGTCTTTGTGAAGCTACCAAGTACAAGCCTGTAGTATATTTTCTGTCTCCTGGTTTCTTTATTGCAGAGTAACCGTAAAAAGCAGAAACTAGCCACTATTTCAATATTTTTATTGTATAAGTTGCTGAACTTGTTGTCAGTATTTTTGTATTCTTTATGCTTACTCTTAGTCCCATTTTTCAGTGAACTTTGATTTTTATTACTAGAACTTCCATATAATACCTTTAAAATCAAAGAATGTTTTCCCTTAATGCCAATTTCAAGGTAAAAGCAGTGGAAGAGAGCGCTTGTCCATCTATCATGTCTAAAACTTCAACAATGTACCAGTGACATAGATTGTTAAGACTAAAGAAAACACAACAGTTTGAACAAGTTTAATTTTGACTGCACAAAACCATATAGTCCAGTCCTTTCACTGTGTTAATAAAGAGCCAATTTAAAAGCAAAGTGTGAACACTTTTCATCTATCCAGACATCAATATCTACTGCTTAATATTTTCCCAAGAACTCAAAACAATCTCGTTTTTGCAATAATCCCTTGCATCTAGCATGGGTTTAGTGTAGCATGTAGTCTAGATTCCAATTTTGTGGCTTAATACTAAAATGTATAGTTGATGACTGGTTATCTAAATAGGTTTTCTTGAGCCATTAATATAAGTCTCTGCAAATTCTGACAGGAGCAAGATACCCTTGCAGATGCAGAAGAACGATGTGATTTACTGATTAAATCTAAGATCCAGATGGAAGCCAAAGTTAAAGAACTGACTGAACGGGTAGAAGATGAAGAAGAGATGAACTCTGAGTTGACATCCAAGAAGAGAAAGCTGGAGGATGAATGTTCTGAGCTGAAGAAAGATATCGATGACCTTGAAATTACTTTGGCAAAAGTTGAGAAAGAAAAACATGCTACAGAAAATAAGGTACTTTTAATATTTAAAAACCAAAACCAAAAATCAACCTGATCTAACTGTATAATGATTTAAAAAACGGGTTAAAAGTTACATATTAGAGTGAAATCATTCCTAACTTCACTGACATGCTGAAGAATCAGGAAAGGAATACTTGGATCGTGATGGATAGCTTAATAAAAATGTCAGACTAATGTTGGTCCCTTTGAAAAAAAGTAAATTTCAGAGTAAAATGAATCAAAATTAAAATGCCCACAATTTAAACAGAAAGCTGCAGTTTCTCAGTGGGAAAAGGTTACAACAGTTGGAGATTTAAGACTAGAAAAAGAAAGGCATAGTGGGGGGAATGAATGCAATAGCATAACTTCATAAAATTGTAGATTGTGTAAAAGTAGACAGAAAAAACATTAAATCTTTACTAAGTCCAGTGAAATTGAATACTATAGATGTTTTTGATGACATATAGAGTTCAGTTATGGATTTTGCTAACTTAAGGTCTAATAATTTTTCAGGAAAAAGATATGGATGAGAGAATCTATATAAATTACATTATTTCCTTCTCTTATTTTGTCATCCTGATATCTACGCCTATAATTCTCTTATTTCCTGATTCACATGAAGAAATGCAGTATCTAAGTATTAGTTACACACACAAATACACAAACGAAAGCACCCATACACAAATGCACATGCACACACAAAAACATGTATTTAATTATGAAACCTAAACTAATGTAGATAAGATTTTCCATGCACAGACTGTCCTCTCCAGGTATTGGCCACATCCACAGTTGCCTGGAGATACATTATATGCTATGACATCTTGAGTGTTGAAAATGGCTATGCAGGTTATTTTGAACAATATATTTAATTACCTGGATATGGAACAATCTCTGCTCCAATACTCTAAGCCCAGGTTTTTCAAACTGTGTTCTTCACTGTAAAAATTGATAGAGTTCCAAGAGAAATTAAAACTCAATTGAACACAACCTGTTTTGGATCACTAGAGTTTTGCTCTTGATAAGGAATTCTAGTTTTTTTTTTTCAACAAATAGGTTTCACAAATGAAAACCCTTCATCCTTTCTTATTTGATGGCATTCTGTGATTCAATTTACATGAGGTCATACTCCAAAAAGGAGCAGCTTTCTTTCTTTTGCATGAATCAGAAGTATATTGTTTTTCACAAACAAGGATCAAAATGCATTTGAACTGCATTTACTCTGCAAGAAGTTTTGGACTTTTATACTTACTTCCATTTCATTTTTCAGGTTAAAAACCTAACAGAAGAAATGGCAGCACTAGATGAAACTATCAGCAAACTTACAAAAGAAAAGAAATCTTTACAGGAAGCTCATCAACAGGCCTTAGATGACCTGCAAGTAGAAGAAGATAAAGTCAATACTTTGAGCAAGGCTAAAGTAAAACTGGAGCAACAAGTTGATGATGTATGTTTGTTTGTTGTTCTTGATGATTTATTAGATATTTACCTTACCCAACTGGAGCCTTTAGATACAATGGAGTACAATGGAGTATATTGCCATATTGATCTGGAATGATGAGATCTTTCATCCAATAGTTCTTGGACTCATTTAATTGAATAAAATTGGGCTTTTTAATTGATTGTCTGGGTGTTTGATGAGTAATAGCTTTGATTGTATTACCATAGATGTCAGACCCATTCTTTGTCGTGAGAAAAATGAATTAAAGTAAACCAATTACTAAGCTTCTCAATTCAACTACAATGGCCTAAGGTGAAGCATGAACACACATGTTGATCCAATGATCACATCAGCCAGAAGTGATGGTTTACAAACTATAATGGCTAGATTCATACAGTATGCTAATCAAAACCAAATAATCCACATTATGTCTTAGCATGATGTACAGACTTTCTATACTTTATTATAACTTATGCAACTAAATGTAAGAAACTGTCAGAATTCATAGCCCCTTGAAGCCTTGGCCTATCGAGTGTTCATTTCTACCTTTTTATGTCTTAGCTTGAAGGCTCTCTGGAACAAGAAAAGAAAGTGAGGATGGATCTGGAAAGAGCCAAACGAAAACTGGAAGGAGACTTGAAACTAACTCAAGAAAGTGTCATGGATTTAGAGAATGATAAACTGCAACTGGAAGAAAAGTTAAAGAAGTAAGGTTATTTACAACTTTTAATAATTCAGTTTGATATGGTAACATAGAGAAAGGCAAGTTAATGCCTTTAATCACAATTTTTCCAGTTCTTGTTCCTCACAATTTGCCATGCTGGATGGGACAGATGGAAGTTGAAATCCAAAACATCTAGAAGGGACGTGCCTTTTTGATATAAGCAATTTTGGGTTCCCTTCATATTTACTTATAAACATGGAAACTAACTACCAATTATGTGAAAATAATTCCACATACCTAGACTTACAATATAAACTGCTGGGTACTTGGAGGTTCCCTGCACTTTTTGGTCCAGGGAAAGCAGCCAAAACGTGAAGGTTTGCCAGTCCCCCTGAGGTTTTGTCATATGTGCCTGGTGGGTATGTTTGACTAGTAAGTCACAACTTCCACATAAGAGAAGTGGATAGCTTGGGAAGGAAGTGTAGAGAATTGATAGCAAATAAGATTTTTAAAAAGAAAAGTCAGGGGAATATCCCTACCTACAAAGTTACCTTGGGAGCTTTTAAATTTTACACCTCAAGAATAAGAGGCAGCAAGACAAAACAAAGCTTCTGTGTTGTAGGGTTCTGGTTTTATTTTCCTCCCCTGATCTGCTACAGTTTCTTTTATTACAGCAAATTGGCTTTGGAGCAGATCAAAATGCAGCACAAAGTATACTCACCAACTTCACCCGATATCAGAGTTATTAAAAGTACAATATCCATAGATTGCTTAGTTTGCAAATCGAGAAATAAGATAAGATTTTTTTAAAACTTTGCATTAACAACTAGGTTTAAAAAAAAATCTTGATAAATAGCAGTAATGGTGGCCATTACTCCTGAAACTGCATTTCTGCTTAGAAAGCAATAAGACTATTCTGGTGAATCATTGTCTTATATTCCACCACCTCTAAACATCTACCGTATTGCATTAACAGGAAAGAATTTGAAATCAGTCAAATGAGCTCTAAGATTGAAGATGAACAGGCCATAGTGCTGCAGCTCCAGAAAAAGATAAAAGAGCTTCAGGTAAATAATGAGTGATTCTTACTTTTCTTCCACTGAGCTGGTAATTGTTTACAATTTATAAATCAACAGTGAATCTGAACAGCTTATGTAAAAACACAGTGCATTACACACAGAGAAAATAACCTGTAACTAGGGATATGCAGTAATAATAAACATTATTATTGTTGCTGTTATTTCTTAAATTGTACACTGTCATACTCCCAGAAACTCTTATCTATATAGATCAACCCAGGTAGATACCTCAATGACAAACTATCTGTAGACATGATAAGAATATAATCCCTAATATAGGCTTTTATGCACATTTGATTGGATTCACTCTTCATCTTCCCAGAGGTACTCCAGGGCATCTTTTCCATTGTGTCATCTTCAGGATCTCCTTGGAAAATAAAGGGCTGCAGCTTGGGATCAAAATGGTGTATCTTGATATAATTTCTGAACAGCTTTAGTACCAGTCAGTCTGAATTTCTGGCAATTAGAGGCATCCATGCATGAAATGTTTTGCTGGATGCCATTGGATTCTGCAGAAAACAGCCGAATCACATTTCTCCACTCTAGTGCTGCTTCATCAATTGGGAGTCCAATTTATATAATTTGCTACGTTTATGCTGTTCATAAATTCATGTCCCGTTGTTGGTCTAGATAATGCTTCTGAATGTGTTGTCTTCTCACAGCAAGAGGTTCCAACTACTACTTCATGAGTACATCTACTTTTCTTTTTAATCCATCTAATGTTGAAAGGGGTTTTGGATTTCATATGATTGGGATTCCTTATTTTATTCACTTTCTCTTCCTCTTTCATGAAAATATCTAGGTAATTAAATAAGAAGGTGGCACCTTCATAATGCCGATTGGCCTTATGCAGTCATTTCTACAGTTTGACTATAAATACAAATCAGAATCAGCTATCATTTCCTATGCTCAACATACATCCCTTCATCCACAGTTTAAACAAAAATGATAAATATGGTATAAATGATATCCATGACCGATGAGTCCCCATCTAATTCTTCATTTCAAACCTTTAGAACAGGAGATGCAAACTGGAGCCACAACTTTACTGATTTTTGTTTTTCAGAGAGTCTCTTCTGATTGTATGACTTTCTGCAATTTTAAAGCAGGAAATACGTTAATACTATAGGTAAAAAGTATCCAAATAGGTTTAATGTAGCCATTTTGGAAAGAAAGTCCTCCAAATACCTCCCCTAATATCAGGAAATCAGAAATTATAGCTTGTCCATTTATATAATTTGCAACTTTGGGGTTCCTCACAGATCTAAATAGTTCTCCATCACTCCTGCTTTAAAAGAAGTGCTTTTCAGTTCCTGTGAGGAAAATGAGAACAATACTCATTCCCTCCACAGTATGAATACCTATATACATCCTCTCCAACACACAGAAAACTTCATTGAGTTTTATTTTGCACTTTCAAAAAAACAAACTATTGATCACTTGAGAAAAACAGGTTTGAAATCTCCTTCCTGAACTGCAGGGGTCCAACTAATAGGCAGGACTTAGTTGCTGGTTTGGCAGTCATAAAAGAGTAGGTGAGACACTTGGAAAGAAAGATATATGAGAGAAAGTGAATTGGAGAGGGAGAAAAGATATACTCAGCAAAATCAAAAACCTCTCTCTGAATACCCTTGATTGTAAGTATATAGCGGCTGGTGAGTTAAAGAATAAGATTGTATCTTGGAGGAAGACAACATGAACTATGTTGATATGTGACATCAACACTGAATTTGTACAGGAGCAAAGCTGTTCCAGGAATACAAATACTCCCCTTAGCTATTGATCTATGGAGGCTCCATGATCATCTTGGTTTAACAGCTGACAAAGTTAGTTTTCATTTCTCTTTGGAGGGGAGGTTATGGAAAGTGCCATTAATAATGCTGCAACTTGCTCATTGCCCAGAAGTAGAATATGTGCCATTTAACTAAGCCATTTTGACAGTTCTAGTTCAGAGTCAAAACATGGATAAGAACTACAAAAAGACTTTCTCTTTACCTTATAATTCATGCTTCTTTGAATTTTAAAGTGGCATAAGACACTCTAGATTTAAAAATATGTATTTACCACTTTCATCAAAGTTTGCTTTCATACACTGGGATTTTTGCATATCAAGTTGCCCTTAGAGTAATTCTATGCATAGTTAGAATAAACCCTGCAAAGTTCAGTAGTGTATTCCATATAATTTCAAATACAACTGCAGCCTGATGTCATGGGGAAATGGTACAAAACTACCTTTCCAGACAGGTGGAATCATAGTAAATTCACCACGTATTCAGAATACATATCAGACATTTATCATTTTAATGTCTCTATGGTTTTTCCTATCCAATTATAAGTTGAACTGCAACTCTTGTCATCCCAGTTATAATGCTGTCTGGGGATGAAAGAACTTAGGCTTCATTGTGCTATGGTAATTTTTGCTCTAAAATTAATATTCTAACTAATGCAGAATATTATTCTGCTTTTTCTGGTTCTCTTTTACACTGATAATTGATTTTGTGCTTTACGAATTAGGATAAAGGAGAAGATAAATTCAGAGGAAATTTCATAGATGGTGCTTGAACTTATTCTTTATGTATTCTGCCATTTTACTGTGCAGTCAGTGATCAGCAGCTTCCTAAGCTGTACACATATCAATAAATCCCAAGAAAGTACATTATGAAGGAGTCACCCCCTGGGGCTTTTTGATTAGTAGTGTACTGTCATGGCTAAGAGGGAGTCGTGCCCTTAATAGATTGTTGAAGGAGTTCTCTTTCCTTTCAAGAAATTGTTCACCCAATTCCCCCCCCCCCTAAGTTAGTACAGAATTTTGAAAGGCCTGAAACTCAGATTCATATTCAACTAGGTGAAGAGAGAACTTAATAAGGTTCAAAATTAAGTATACATTCAGGTTATATACAGTTTGTAGCACATCATATAAGGGGAATTCATAAGTGTTTTTAATTTGTCTGATAGGCTCGTATAGAGGAGTTGGAGGAAGAACTGGAAGCTGAAAGGGCTGCCCGAGCGAAAGTGGAGAAGCAGCGATCAGATCTGGCCCGAGAACTAGAAGAACTGAGTGAGCGACTAGAGGAAGCTGGAGGTGCTACTTCAGCACAGCTGGAAATGAACAAGAAACGTGAGGCAGAGTTTCTCAAACTACGACGAGACCTTGAAGAAGCTACTTTGCATTACGAAGCTACTGCAGCTACCTTAAGGAAGAAGCATGCGGACAGCATGGCAGAGCTTGGGGAGCAAATTGACAATTTGCAGAGGGTCAAACAAAAACTGGAGAAAGAGAAAAGTGAGCTGAAGTTAGAGGTCGATGATCTATCATCTAACATGGAGCAGCTGGTCAAGGGAAAGGTAAAAGCAATTTAATATGAAAATTTGAATGGGGATCTATAGAAATATAGAGGCAGTAGATATAGAGATATAGATAGATAGTTGATCTATCTTAAGTTGTAAGAACAGGTTCCTCTTTACTATGTTGAAGAGCTGGATAACTAGCTGTTCTCAGTTAGTGTGGCTATGATTTTCTCTCCATCCATAGTTCCCTCATAGTTTTATATATCCATTCTCATTAGAACTGCTATTGTCAATTTATTGTATAATACTATTATATTATAGTAGCATTTCATCAATTCCAGGATTTTTTGTCCTATCCATGTATGATTGGTTCCAGAAGCTCACTTATTGTCAGGTTGCCCTGGCTCCCCAACATCTGATATGGATCTTGTTAGCCCAAGTGTCATCTGAGCCAACATGACTCTCTTAGATTCCTAGATAGGCAGGTGAAACATTAGGAAGCCTTTGCCCAAGGACCTCTACTGGTAAGGTAAGTACCAACCAGGATTTCAACCTTGTCTCCCTTGTCAATGGTAGCACCCTAACCACCATGCTATCTAGCGTGTGTGTGTGTGTGTGTGTGTGTGTGTGTGTGTGTGTGCATCTCACAAAGTGAGAGAGAATGTATTACCTTTTTTACTACCCAAAACTCTAATTTTAGATCTTACTTCAGTTTTCCTTTCTTTATAGACCCCCATTGTAATTTGTCACTAAATTAGTCACTGAACTGTTAGTTACTAAATAAAGCAGTCACTTAATGAGTATTAAAAATAGTGATTACAGACTGTTTTGATATTTTCTGAATTCATTTGCAGAAATTTTCAGCTAGTATCTTTTATGGACTTTGGCAGAAGTGGGTGACACATCATGCTGTTCAAAAAAAACCTTCCATTTTACTAGACTTTAATAATAAATGATGTGTGGAAGAATTGTAAAATATTACTTAGGGGTATTTTCTTTCTCCCAACTACTGACAAGAGTTTCTAAAAGAATGTCTACAGCTCACAGAAGCATACTATTGTCCAAGTAACATATTTCATCTCATGAATTCAGTCAAATAATTCCAAATTATTATTAATTAAATGATTTATTTCATTTCATATGCCATCATATATTCCTATATGTTTGTTTTTGGGTAATATAATTCCAGTAAAATATTACTTATGAGAAGTAATAATTTGGTTGATACATAGATGAAGCAATTTCTTATTATATTCTGAGAAAAAACAAAAGGTTATCTTTGTAGATGAATATGTAAAAGTCTTGAAATTATATCATTAAAACATTTTAGCATTTTAAATATGTAGGTTTTGACTAAGAATCAGCTGGTTTGTATTATATAATAACATTATTTTTTTAAAAATCCAGTCAGTCCTCCCCCCCTATTTATTAGTAGGCTATTTTAATTTCTTTCAGCCAAATTTAATAGTATCCTAGGTATATAAGTTCAGGACTGACTGAGTTATAGTTTCTATTTGGATTTCATTTATTTATTATTAAACTTATACGCCTCCCATCTCGCCAGAAGCAACTCTAGGCATCTGACAGACATTCCATTAAAATGCACCAGAAAACATTAAAAACAACAAATACATTCTTTTCCTGCTTACAATAAGTTTGTTCCGTTGCTTTAGGGAAATGCAGAGAAACTCTGCCGTACTTTTGAAGATCATCTCAGTGAGGCCAAGACTAAAGTAGATGAAATGACCCGGGTGATAAATGATCTCACTGCGCAGAAAGGGAAGCTGCAAACTGAGAACGGTAAGTTATTGGACAGTTCTGTACAATTCTTATTATTGTGCTTTATCTTACTTATTTCTCAACACAAATCTGCCTCAACTTACATACCTCGATATCTCAGAAGAGGTTTTCCTAGAATTTGTTTTAAACCACTAGACACAATGATCATTTATGGGAGGTTTCATGGACTTTGATCTGAAGAAAAATTCTGTGCAGCTGTTGGAGACATTGGACACATCCCTCTTGACTGTAGACTATACTCTGCAGAAAGAGTGACTAATTTAGATTCCTATTTAAAAACTTAAAAAAAATACTAAGGTACCTGGGAGAAAATGTCTTACTTTTTGCAGGGAACATACCTGCATATCATTAATAAAACAGCACTCTTTATATCAAAGGCCATTTCAAAAAGACAGAATATTTAGATCAGACTGAAATTAACTATAGGGATGATGACTTAGTATTTTTTTAAAGTTTTTAAATAAGAATCTAAATAAGTCGCTCTTTCTGCAGAGTATAGTCTACAGTCAAGAGGGATGTGTCCAATGTCTCCAACAGCTGCACAGAATTTTTCTTCA